TTATAAACGCTTATAACTTTTGAACGTGATTATCAACGTGGGAGAGCCATGCTTCGGCACGAATGAGAGAGAAAAACCGGTGTTAAGCAATTCTTTCGTTGCCTTTCACTGGGTGAGTGAGGTTACCGGAGCCCAAATCCTCGGAGTTTGGTTTGACTCCGGACCTTATACCATAAAAAAAACTAGTGACAGACAAATTATGATATTTGGCGACAAACTAGCGACTACTTTTTGTGTTATCAAAAATAAAATCCATGATGGTGGCCAAGCCAGTGTCAGTGACCGAAGATTTAGGCTATGCCACTTGATGTCTGGATTAAAGGCCAAAGTTATTTAATGACAACAGTTTTAATTCTCGTTTAAAAAATTCATGTCACTTTGCTGTAAGTTTTTACTATTTTCTACTAATTTCCCTATAAATCTTATTTCGTTTCACAAACATAAAAAAAATGGGTATGGGGTACACGAACAGCCCTAAAGAGCCGCAAGTAAAACCGATGTTCTTTAAAACCGCATCATTTTGTATGTTTCATAATGCTTATTATTGATTAACTGATTATTATGGATTATTATTTCTAGGAGAGTGGTTGAGTGCTTAGGCCTAACTTAAATTGCTCTATTTTTCGCTTTTTGCATTCATTCCTTTGAAACGGCAAAACCGCCAAAACTTTCATAATACAACAGACCGCAGCTCAGCCTAATCATCTAAATAGCCAGAAAACTCCAGTGACCTTTTGTATACCATCAAGACTATCAGGCCAGCCGATCTAATGTTATTAAAGAATCAATCAGATATCCGCTGGACCGAGAACTAATCAAACTTCGTTGAATACGAGTTCGGCGAAGTGAACGATTGTTCTAAAGTTATACCTAGCAGATGTTGTTCTGACTCCCAGTATATTAACCCTTTAGTGATACAGTCTACGGCGTTTTGGGTTTGATTTTTGTTTATCGTTAGTAGCAGGTGCATATATATAATATAGCTAGTAGAACCCACCTTAATACATCGATCATCTCCTGCTCCAAAACAACCAATACGATGAAACTTTGTTAGTTTATGTTTAACTTTGTTACAAAATAAATTGCTGGTCATACGCCAATACAAAAAAAAATATGGTATGAGTGCTCAAATTGCGCTGGTCTCGTATTTTTTTTAAATCTGTGACGGTAGCAGCATAATGCAATGTCCGTTTTTATTATTGTCTTTCGACACTGAATGATTCATTGCCTTTTCAATGCCAGTAATTTCGTATTCATTGTATGTGACTGTAGGAATTCATTTTGTATTTAATTCCTAAGTTGCACGCTGTAGTCAAAATATGGCAAACTTTTTGCAAGATACATTTTGAATCTGATTGCATATCTCCTTCCTCCAACAACTTTAATCGTGATTGGTTTTATTACCTATGGGGATTAGGGATATATGGATAAAGGGTAAGACATGTTAAGAATAATTTGACAATTATGCTCAGGAGTATGTAACTATCTTTATTTCTCAAAAAAAAAACACCAATTAATACACGTTTTAAAACATTAATTTATCAATGGATAGGTTAAATTGTATACCTAATTAACGGACAGACGCGGTCCTATTCTTAATATACATATATATTATATAAATATCCATGCATGCCTATTTATTTTATTTATTGTCCGAATACATATTTATTGTCAGTTATAAGACCGCGCTGCGATAAGTGATATTATTAAATATTGTCTTATACCAAACCATCGAATGCATAGTAAAACTTTAATAAAAGCATTTCTAACATGTCGAAAACTGGCATTCAAATCGCAAAGAACTGTGTAGAGCAGGTAGTATTGTTGACTGTCAGCAACTGACATATGGGTGGTCAAAACTCAATATTCCAAATTAACATTGAAATTGACAATCAGATAGATACCTGGTTGTCAATGTCAATGAGATTATTCGAGATTTGAAATTAAACATTCTTTTAAAAATGGATATTTGTGAGGGAATGCATCCGATAGTTGGTGACATATCACGTTTACACAAGTGATATGGCTACAATTCATAATATGTAGTAGTTATATGCGACATTAATCGCAAGATATGTAACCGCAAAATACTACAATGTCATATATTGTCCATTAGTCAAAACACCTATGATATTTGTTAATACGCATCCAATAAACACTACACAATGTTATCAACTATCTATCTAACGACTTTAAAAGACGATAAAATAATTTGTAAAATTCTACAGAATATTGTTAGAAAATTATATACAAATAAACATATTATTATTGTTGTGTAGAAATTCCGCTAATGTAACGAAGTGGGGTGGGCTACACCACTCGTTTTAGTAAATAGAACAATAATGAATTCATTGACATGCTTAAAGCCATAATACATGACGTGTTATATAATTTTTAAAGCCAAATTTCATAGTCTGTGAGTTTATTAAGTCGACTTATCGTCGTCTCATATGTAGAAAGTTGATTAGATATTATATATATAGATATATATATATATATAGTACACAAACAGGTAACAACATTTTTAGTTACAGCCTTCTCGTTCAGTGTTATCATCTAGTTCCAAACTGTTGTGGGTTCGTTTGGTTCGAGTGAATTCGACACCAGAGCTATATGACACAGAAGATAATTGTTTATTTTTATACAAGGTGGGCTTAAATTGTATATTGATGTGAATCTACGAAATGTATACATATATATGACAAAACTTAAATTATTTGATTGATTATTTTTTTTTACGCTTTTTTATCAAACTATACAGATGATTTGAAACAATAAATTTAATAGAAGAAAGAAAATATGTATTTATTTATCCCGAATATAGTTTATGTATTAGTTGATAATTTTAAATAACAATCTGACATAGTCCCCAATAACTGGTATGTGAATTTTCACTTAGAATTATTACTGGGTTTTGAAACAAAAAATCATTAATATTATAAAAACACTTTTCATATATTTGAAACCTTAAAATCTGATATAATTTTAATAAAAGTACACAAGGGAATATATATATATTTACATACATATGTAGCTAAATATATATATATATATATATATATATATATATATATATATATATATATATATATATATATATACTGTAATAAAGCGAAAAAAATGTCATTTGCTATCCTGTAGTATTTTAACTAACAAAAGAAAAAACAATACAAAAAAATACTTCCACCCGTGGCATGTCTCTGAAATACATATAAGTATGGTTTAATATTGTAATTAATCTTGCAATATTCAAGACTAGGATAAGGTTATTTTATAGTTGCAGTAATATTTTCCTCTTTATAGCCAATTGCCTTCATATACAGAATAAGTAAACACATACAAAGCAACAATACTAAAAACACATCGTTATTTACATATAACAATTTTAAACACACCATGTATAATAATGTTTTTTAAACTTAGTTTCCACAATCCTTGGTGTTACCTCTACAAGATATTCCTGCCCCAGGCTGTTTCATTCCTATATTAGGACTCATTAGTACACAAATATTTAAATAAGCCTCAGGGCGCGTTCTAATTTACAATTAACTATGTATTACTTGAAACATTTAATTGTAGTTAAAGCATTTTTCTGTCGGGATTCGGTTGCGTATTCCCTAAATACGAAGAAATAGAGAATATAGTGCAGGACTGCAAGTTACAAGTCGCATTCGCAAGCAGCAGCCGACACCCCTAGCCGTCTTGAAGGCTTTTGATATATAGTACACGGTAACCATACACTTAGCATCTAATCACAACAATTATTTCTATTTCTTTTGAATAAACAGAATAAGTATATAGGTTGTGTTATGTAGATTTCAGTTTTATACTCGTAAGCTAAACGGTTTTATTGTTACAATTTAAAATACTAAAAAATATTATATCATTTATGGTAATGGATCTCAATCATGTCAATATAAGATATCAGGTAGCAGATGGCGATATTCATTTTCGACCAAATTTCACCGTCGTTCGACCATATTGTACCAATTATTGTATTGTTGGCCTTTTAATAAGAATCTTAAAAAATAACATATTTTTAAAATATTTATGAAATTGAGAGCCATGGTTATAAAACACGAGAAGTAAATAGATGTCTTATTAGTTAAAATTAATTAAATATTAAGAAAAAATTGGTTACATTCAATAAGTAGCGGTGAAACATTTTAGTAATTATATTGTTTAAATAACTACAGAGAATGAGCAAATGTTGAATATCTACCATAAACTATTTTTTGATTAGCGAAAAGTATTTTAGTGGGCAAATACCTTTCGCTCCGATTCTTTTGAGGTCGTCGGGCTCAGACAAAACCTCAAAATCTTAATAAAAACTTTCTCAGAGCTGAATAAAAAAGCGATACAATTATTCTTTTTTAGAATGTTTGCAAAGTTTTCTGAAGAGCAAGTGGAATCGAAGCGAAAAGCTAAGACATTCAGGCGGCTAGACACCGCCTTGCATTATTAATTTTTATAATATTTCTAATTTAAGAAGGATTATTATCTTTTCACTCTTATACTACTAAACATCAAGTCGTAAACATCCATTCATATTATTGTCAAATTACATTTTTTTTTATTGTCATGATAAGTTATTGGAAATTGACGGCAATGTGTAATTGCTCTAGTCGTATAATTATCATTATTGTCTCGCCGGAAGTACCGTATATATAACATTAAGTTCATATACAGAAAATTCTAACCTTAAACCTATCGAAAAATACAATGGATATTCAAAAGGGTATATTAAAATTCAGACATTGCATACCTACATCGAAAATCGGTTTTGTAAATATAAAAATATTGTAAGGTAATGTTGAGAAAGCTCGCATTAATGACGAGTGCCGTCTAAGCGAAAGCGTTAGGATATGCTTTCGATATGATATTTTAATATTGATATTAGGAATTAAAGCCCATGGAGTGTTTGTACATTAAGGGAGTTTGTCCCTAGAGGTGGCGACGTGTTTTCGTCCTTGAGAGTCGGGGTGCCCGGGGTTATGGGTTCAGTAGTAAGGGAGGAAGTCGGGAGCCGCGTACTCCAGGTAGGGGTGGTAGATGCCGCGACGGACTGGGGGTAACATCGCGTCCGAGTAGCGCGAGAACTGCGAGATCTGGCGGCTTCCTCCGCCTGGGGGTTTCCTGTGAACAAAGTTACTGGTTAACAGAATCAGAACAATAGGCGAAAAACCTTTTTGGCATATAACTAAGAAACTAGAAAATTGATGTTGGATATTATAATTAAAAAAAATTAATAAAGCTTTTGGCTACTGGCGTATCTGAAGCTCTGAAACGAATCAAATATTGAATATTATTTGTTTGTATTGGTGATTTTACATTTCTTCCTTTTAGTCACAATGTGCGCTCGTGATCTCTTTGAGTGAGAAGCGAAGCGAGAGAGACGTGTCAAATAGACGTTTCTCGCAACCAGAGAATAAGAGAACTAATCACGCATAAAAGATCTTTATTGCCATATAACTTGGAACGGCCTTTTAATATTTATTTTTTTGTATTCTTGTTGTTAATATTACACAACTACAGACATATTCGTACATGAACTCACGTCGTTTCATTCGTTTTAGGTAGAAAATTTGTTAGATACTATGTGAGCTTTTTCTACTGTCCTTTGACATATATAAGGTGCCCCCTTTCGGGTACTTCTGTCAGAACATCACCAATTTGATTAACGTATGTGCAGCCTGTTCTACCGCTACTAACTAGTACCAAGTTAGTAGCGGTAAAAGTAAGCCTCAGTGTTAGTAAACACAGAGACTTACTTTTTTTCTATGTTCGTATTATTTTCTCATTACGATAGTATATACCCAACTTCTAAATATAAATAGTACGTACATCGACGTAACATGTCACCTAACCGTATGTGGGTAGAAACAGATTTGCAATGTGTACGATTCCCGTGATTCTTTATACGTTTAACGTTTTTCCTTGAAACGCCCAAGGTAAGGGTCGGCTATTTATAGCCGAGATGGCAATGTAAGCCTTATAGAAGCTTATACTGTCTTTGTCTATTTCAGTAAGGAAATCTCAGTTGGTCTTAACTTACAACAATGAAAAGTGTGTCGAACCTGTAAAGTTTGCGTTGGTTTGCATATTTTTAATGTAAACTTTTGGAGGGCATTATTTCTCTGTTTGACATTTTATATAAAACAAATAATGATGTCAATTTATCTGGTATGTTGTAAAGAAGTGAAAATAAAAACTAATTTAAACATTTTACTAGTCATCTTATTCTATTCATCTTTTCATTTATTTTTAGTGTCATCTCTATTTGTGCTGCTAATGCATGTTAAGCCGCCGGTCCCGGGTGCCATACGAACATCTGCGGAAATCGTTACGGGTAGTTGTGGCCCTATAAAATCCGACAACCGCCTTTTTACAGAACTCGCCTACTTGGGTTGAGAAAGTCTGATGGCAGTCGCATCGCGTAAAAAATCGAAGTTCAGGCGTATCGTAGTAGACTTAAAACCGACCCCAAGTTCCGAAGTCATATTTGTATTTAGCAAACATTGTTATAGCAGAACAACAAAGCAAGAAATTGTGTTTTAAATGAACTCAGGAATATTAGGATAAAAGACCTTTGACGCCTTGAGAACGCAACGAATGTAGTAGTGTTCACGAATTTGTACTACATGTTTGCATAATAAGAGTTGTGAAGTTATACATACTTGCTGTGCCTGGCGGTGGGCTCGTCGGCAGGGTACTCCATCTGCAGTGGCTGCATGCCCCGAGGCTCTTGTTCGCCATAAGTGCCGTACACGTAGTCGTCACTGTCAAAATAAAAGACATTTAAATATGGAATTATCGTGGGAAGTATTATGTTATGGTGTAGGGGGAAGTGAGCAGACGGATCACCTAATGTTAAGTGAGTACCGCGGACCATGGACACCTGCCACTTAAGAGACAGAATGTGCCTTTGAATGTCGCCTAGAATTAGAGGGGAGGGGCGTTCGACCTCCAGTACACTTAATCATTTGGTGAAATGCAAAGAAAAGTTGCAAATAGCTGCGATAATTCGGTTTTTTGTGAGGCTGGCATGACTAAATATACCGAGGTCTGGATGTCTTTATAACAGCTTCCGGATCCCTCCTATTTCAGGCTCAGAATGGCACCGTCTGAGTCGGTTCGATTCCGACCCACCGCTCCGCCGCAAACCCCAGAAATGCCCAGGGTTCGCTGCCTCTTCATTCTCTTGTCGTAGATCAACACGTAGAGAGCGGGGTCCCTTAAATACCTCGGTAATATTTTTTTTTTGTGATTTCTTAATCCCAAAAAAATAAAAATGTTCTTTAGTTCTAAGTGTTCTTATGTTTTCAATTTTGATCCCCGACCGGAATTACACGTGTAAATTGTTACGTTACAGATAGAATTATGCTATCCAAATTCTTTATAAAGGGTGGTCACGTATAACGGATATCACGTCTGTGACGGGACACTGATCCCGGATGACCCATATCTTGGGGCACTGATTCAAATGTCTTAGAAATTATTTATTATTTCCTCTACTAGTTTAAGAATTTACTCGTATTTGTTTATTCTTAGCTAGAAAGGCCGCGGGCCATCTACACTAATTAAGAGAAAAACATTAATACAGAATAAACGATGCTATACGACAACTTTATTTATTTACAATATTATTTACCTTTACTACAAACCTTACTTGTTTAAGAATGTTGTGTATACAAACTAGATTTGCTATATTTTCATTTCATAAATAAAAATAATAGAACATTATTTTTTAAATAATAAATAAAATATATAAAACTACATCGAAAACATAGACTTTTCGCAGTACCCCAGACATACTGACATAATCGATAAAGAAGAATGATTTTGTATGTTTCTTATAGTAAGGCATATTATATTTAAAGCTCCAAGACAGTTTGATTTTTCCGGGGACTTTCCGTGTGGGGAAATTAGTTAGTATATAGTAAGGCAAACGGCGGGGCGGAGTTAGGAAAGTTGTCTTGTTTGATCCACTTTGTTTTTTTTTAAACACATACTTAGCTAACACTTATAAAAAGAGCTTTAATACAAAAGTATTTATTATATTAATAGCATTATGTTCCTTTTTATGAACAGTAGGCTACTTATAATTTCTAACCAAAAAAAGCTTTTTTTATAATCTACTTTGTCTCAGTATTTGTCAAATGATTTCAAAGAAAACAGGTCAAGTAAACAAAACACTACTTTTAACTTTAATTACATCCTTCAAGGCATCGTAGCATTTGTTTATTAAATAAAACACTCATTTTTGCTTCGATAAACAAATAAATTACAAGGGAAAATAAAAATAGCTCTTTTAATGTCTACGAGAACGAATGACAATTCATTTAGAAAAACGTCTTGACTGATTTAATAATCAACGTCAAATCGCGAGGGAGGTTTCAAACCTGATACTCCAGAAGGCCGTATAACGTTTCCTTTGCACATTTTTGATTCTGGGAAAAATACAATCTCTGATAGTATTATTGTTCTCCTGTCAATTACAATAACGTGCCTGTGATTCTTTACAACGCGTGTGTTCAAATTATATTTTTGTTATATGTTGTTACATTCTGTTAATTAAAACGAGTTTGTTTTTTTTTATGTTTGTTTAAATATATAATTGTTAGAGTTAGGCGATATATGCGGTTGTAGTATAGGATGTGTGCGATATAATAATTATGATAACTTACGGTAATCTGCGGTTGCATTATTTTTCTTTCAAAAGTCATCTGAAGATAGAGTTCTTATAGTTACAAAAGGAATCGGCATTCTAGTTTAAATACTTACAAGGTATTAGAACCGCAATGAATAGGTACGTTATGAAAACATGACCTCAATTCCCTTGTCATGAAATTGGAAAAACTTTATAAAAGGCATAGGTACTATGATAGGTAATCGAATTATGATAAAGAGCCTTAGATTTGAAGTTATGAGCTATTGTTTATAACACTCCCCGAGTTTTATTTATTATATTAACACTAGTTGCATTATACGTGTTCCTTCTATGTGGTGACGGATTAACAATACAAACTGTCACCACCCCTATTCATGTCGTGGGTGTCGTAAGAGCCGATTAAGGGAGCAAACTACGCTTATAAATAGCACTCTAAAGAAAAAAGAAAAGGAAAACTTGAAAGAAACACTATATCTGTCTGGCCAGCGTGGTAAAGTAGGCCTAAACCTCCTTTTTATGGAGAGGCCTATGTCCAGCAGTGAACTACTAAAGGCAGTTGATATAAAAAATACTCACTTCCGTCCAGAGGTAAGGTCTTTCAGCTCCTGTTTCTGTTCAGCTTCGTACTTCCTCTGTAGTTCACGAACATGCTCCTGCCGGATCAGCTTCTTCAAAGCTTCGAACCTATGAACAAGAATTGATTGTAATTGTCTTCGTTAATTCATAATTTGATCTTAAATTCACATCTAGGCTTAGGTATATACATATATTTGGTAATTAGAAATTATTGCTACTTTTAAGTCATAATCATATGATGAAGATATTGGTTTTCGTCACTGCGATTTTACATGTGCCACTAACATAAATGTCATCAAAATCAATCAAAATTATTTTTATCAAAGATTACATTGATAAAATAATTGTCGGATATGTTCGGATATGATTTTTTTATGGGACTAATCCCTGTAACTCCTGTACACAGGGATCAACAGCAGTGACCCAAGAACACACTGAGTTATGACACTCGAGCAGTCCCAGGAAAAAAATTGAATTGTCTTGGAACCTCGCAACGAAATTAATCAGAAAAAAATTGGAGGAGTTGTAAATTTAATAAATCCGCTTCCCTTCTTAGCAAAGCGGGTCTTTAGTGAGCTATATTTGATTTCTATAATATGTATAGCAGAATCGTCTAAACGTACGGAAATTCACCCTAGTTGACACAAGATCCCATAGTGTCTCGTCTAAGATGTCACATGTGAGCTATTCAGCATTATATTACATTCATAATACCAAAGACTACATTCCCAGAAGATATGATGAGCAGACTGTTTACACTTTCACAGTTAGAGTCAGGTGTTAAGCATTGACACAATGGTGACTCGACTAATTTAAATAAATACAGTTTGCTCTTAAATTTACTATTATCTGTAAGAAATTTAACGTCACAGTTATACACCTCAAGCCATGTCTTCGACGACCGTTCGCGAACTGATGTAAAGAACTATGAAAGGTGTCGCCCTCGTAAGTATATGATTTACAAATCATATGATTTATCACAGGTGATTGTGATATTATTCCATCCCTACTGAATACTGATCTAAAATCGTGGGTTTAATTCCCACCCAGAGAAAATAATGTGTCTGGGTCTCATTTATCAATCATTTGTATGTATTTAGTGATATATAATTATAATGTATGCAGCATGCAATATTTTAAAACAGTCCACAGATAGTAACGAGCTCTCTTCTGTTTTCTCCAGATTCTGTTCATGAGGGAGATCATCCCAAATAAACAAAAACTTTCATATCGTTCGTCTTTTATGAAATAAGATACTCAATGTGCGAAAAAAGTCTTGATACAGTATCGTGGTCCAAAGAAACAAACTTTTATAGAATAGTCATAAAATGAAATGACATGATCAATTTTCGAGATGCCTACTACAAAAGTTACCCACATCAATCTAAATTAAGATTTCTCATCGTTAGATGTCTACATTTTTAAGGGTTTCGTACTAGTAACTATTAATAAGGAATCCTTATAGTTTCGACATGATTTTGGGGTACTTTTCAATTTTCAGTAATAGCCTTGTAAAGTGTACACATCCACAAGTTAATCTGTGGATTAGAAAAATCTGAAAAACCATAAAATTATAATCCCATCGAAGCTCCTGTCGGCTCTCGAAGGACGTCATCACGGCGATGTCTATGCAGGAGAAAGGAGAACGTGGTGTTTAAAAACCATCCTGACGGTCGACCTCAAACAGCCTATTCTAGTCGCTTAACTTATAAAATGTAATACTTGTCCTACCTACCTTATAAACTAGGTACCTAGCTTTAAAAACCTTGCACAAAACTCTCAGAACATTATGTATTACATGAAGCTGTAAGTTCTAACAAACCCTTGGGCAGTTTTATATATTATATGAATGCCCGTTGAAAGTATTGGCCTTTTATAATGAGCTTAATTAGAGGGTTTCGCCTGAGGATTTTAGATTTTATTGTTGAATTTAATTAATTTAGAGACCTAACTTACATTTTTATTGCAGGGGTGAATTAATTTAAGTCAGTAATGTCTGTCACTGAATGTACCTTTTTTCTGTTCTTATTAAACTGAGATGTTTTTATAGAATTTATTAAAGGCTGGGTAACATTTGAAGTATTTTTTTAATAAAAAGACAACTCCCGCACTAGGAATATATCCTGTGTCGCGGAGGCCTTTACAAACATACATTGAACGGACACAAAGAACACCCAGACTCAGAACAACAATTTGTGAATCACACAAAGTGTTGTCCCATGTGGGGATCAGACCCACAAAACTCAACGCAGTAGGAAGCGGCGAGGTGACCGCTTAAACCACTAAGCCATCCGTGCAATCAATTTTGAATCTTTTGAGAGTTGTGGCTGACTTTCAGTTTGGAGATTTGTCGTTGCATGAATAGCATATTTAATTGTTAAGTATTTTATGTGTATTTCGACTTTAATCCGTGTGGTGACGGATTAAGAATACGAATGTCATCGCCCCTATTCATCCGATGGGTGTCGTAAGAGCCGACTAAGGGAGCAAACTATGCAGGACAACAGCACTGCAAACAGAAGGAATACTTGAAACAATCCCTATACCAACCCGTCTGGCTAGCGTGGTATAGTAAGCCAAAACCTCCTTTCTATGACTAGGCCCATGTCCAGCAGTGGACTATTAAAGGCTGATGATTTCGACTTTAGCCTTTAAGATTTTGTCATATAATAAAACCACTTTGTTTTGAACAAAAATCGGTTCTGAGTTTTAAGAAAGTCGCTACTGTGGCAGAGTCATGTTTTGGCACAACATTAAAAAAAAGGAATGTACAAATACATGTACTTCTTTTATGTTTTTAAAGAATAGCCCTTTTTAGGCTTTAATTACTGGCCATGGGTACACAGATGATAAACAGTTGTATTCCTATTTTATATTTATATTTTTAACACAACAGTGACGGTTAGTTTGTAAAGCATTATACATTTAAGTAATTGATGTCAGCCTACTTCAATATTTCTCTTAATATATTTGAACTTTAACTTTTGAGGCAACATAAATTAATATTTTAAATTAGAAAAAAATACTTTGATGATGGAACTTGACATTACATTTTCTTGTTAAATTGGAATACCCACATAAAATGAAATTACAGACGTCTACCCGTTTTTTTTTTCGAAGTTTTAATTTCTTTAGGCGCGTTGGGCATTTTTGAACAACAAACAGTGTATTTTATGGGAAAAAAACATTGAACTCGCAATGTTACCGTCACCGACACCTCTGTTGAAGTGAAAACTTCATTAGGCGCGTTTAGCATTTTTTGAGATGGTAAAAAACAATTGACCTAGTGACACTTACCGTTACCGTCACCTCTCTATATTAGTTTTCTCTTCTGTCGGCACTCCCGGCGTACCACTGCTTTTTTTTCACTGACAGGACGGCATCGCGCTTATGACTAGTTACAGGTGTCTATGGGCGGAGGTGGTCATTAACCATCAGGTGACTAATCTGCTGGTTTCCCCTTACTCCATAAAAAATGTTATAATAAATATTATGGAGGACCTTACCTGTCTCGTTGAGGAGGCACCACGAAGGTAGTCCGGGTTCGTGACGGTCCTGAGTACCGCAGTACTTTGCCCGATGAGCTAGGTACAGGTACCATGCCAAACATCTGACAAAGAAAGCAATTGTTTACTGATACATTCATTTTAACCTTCAGAAAATAAATAACTCTGTGGGACGGTAGCAACAGATACGACTGCCACGCCGGGGTTCATGGGTTCAATTCAAGCTTTATGCATGAATATGTCATATTATATCTATTTGCATTCTATGTATAAAACATTATTTGCAACTATTTACAAAAAATATCTTTGTATGTTTATCCGTTTTCTAAAACACATTAGAAATTTTGTACGTGTAGTGTTTTCTAGAAAATTAATATAATAATAAAACTGTGTTTAAGATAAAGTTTAAACCACCTCCAAGGCTCTAATTTTCTACCCTAAACTCTTCAGAAACAAGGAACCATTGTTGGCACAAAATTGTTGATTTAATTTTCAGACACGTTTATAATTGACTTCTGTTGAGACATTTTAACATTATAACAATATTTATTAAATTGAAATCTATCAGCAAAATTCAATTAAACATTTCTGTTGGCAAGTTCATTCATTGTTTACTTTAAAATATGTATTTAACCATTTATTTCACTACAGTATTAACTAAATCAAAAGAAGTAGACATAGATGGAAAGGATTTTTTGTAGGCATGGACACATAAATTATTATTCAAAAAGTTAACTCATCAAAGGCCGTTAAATAAATAACAACTTTGGCAACCAAAAACAAAGTCTAAACTAAAGTAAAGAAAATGAAAAGTTCAGTATTAAAATTAAAACATTCGACTATGTTGTGAACAACACATGCACACACACACAACTATAAATACATTCGTACTAATGTATTTATAGTTGTGTGTATGTTGGTTTAGTGGTTAGTGGTCCTGACATTTGTGTCAGAGGTCGTGGGTTCGATTCCTCCCTAGGATAAATAATTGTGTGATGAGCACGATCATTTGTGTGTCTGGGTGTAATTTATCTATATAATGTATGTATTTAGATTTATGTATCAGCAGTCTGAACACCAAAGTATAGGTTTGGCTTAATTTGGGATCAGACGACCGTGTGTGAGATGTAATAAGTTATTATGATATAATATATTATGTTTATCCGTATGGTGACGGATTAAGGATACAGAATGTCACCACCCCTAGTCGTCTCGTGGGTGACTATGTGGCTATTAGCCGACTAAGGGAGCGAACCACGCAGGACAACAGCACTGCAAAGAGAAAACTTGAAACAAACCCTATACAAACCCGTCTGGCCAGCATGGTATAGTAAGCCAGAACCTCCTTTCTAAGAAGAAACCTATGTCCAGCAGTGGTCTGTTTAAATCTGTTGATGTTGATATTATGCACCCTGCCACGCTTCGCTGTGGCACATTATGATTGAATTGATGAGAAATGAGAACAAAACTGACGCGAAATAGATAAAAACAATCTCTGAAGCGAATAAGAATAAGAAAAACTTTATTTGTCTTTTACATAAAATACTTAAAATTAATAACAATACTTGAATAATAAATAATACTTGAAAGACAAAATGGTCTTGGACTCAGCGTTTGGACAACAGTGCAAAGCATGCCATCCGCCGTTATTCTGCCCAAGCCAATCATGGTTAATTGTTTTAAAATAAGCACAACAACCACACCCTGACCACGACCCGACCACGTCTGTGTACGTAAACATTATCACTCCACACTCCGGTGACAATGCAATTGTTGCAACATAAAGGATTTTACATCAGTTTAGTACAGTTAACATAACAATAAATTATATGAATAGATGGATGCTATAAACACAGATCAATATATAACATTACTGAGTAGCCGCCTCCGATTGCCTCACTGACAACCACCTGCTGCAACATGATGCCACTAACGATAGATATGACATGGGTAGGGGTAGGACATTCAAACATTTGCAAGCGGCTATTTTGAATCAACCCTTGGTTTTATGTAATGAGTGCTTGGGTAGGATTAATCGATGGTTACGTGACCTTGTTACCCATGTATGTCCGACGACCATGTGAGTTTGTCATAAAGATAAATAGGAGTTATACTTTTAATCAAAGACCTGACAAAACATGTAACTTTTAATATACGCCGGCTAAGCATATTCAAATTCCCTTTTCATTCAAGTACGGTGATATATGATGGGGGCGTTTCATTTTCGACAACTTTTTTGGTTGCCGAAAATGAAACGCAGCTCTTTGAATAGCGGCTATGGCTTCCTTAAAAAACGTAAACGACGTAACAGTACTCCAGATGTGATAACACCAGACTTTTACATAGTTGTTGTCGCACATTGACGTTTAAAAATTGACACAATGTGTATAGTGTGTTTAGAGAGCTTTAATCTTAAGGAATTATCTCATCATCATCATCTAGGCATAGCCCTAGGTTGCGGACGGATTCGCATCGACGTATGATATAATTATTAATGTTAATGTTAGACTTAAAGGACTTTATAGTTTGTACTTGATTTTTAGTCCTGCATTTGATAAACAAACTCTTCGAGGGGTTGAGTGCTAGACCATTTCTATCTGACTACCTGCTTAAGGTAATTAATTTTAGCTACAGTCGACGTCACGTCTTCAGAGGTTGATAGTGTGTTTAAAAAGTGTCAGTGTCATCGGCGTAGAGATGAAACCTGCAATGTTTGATAACATTTGTGACGTCAGATGTGTAGATAGCAAATAAAATAGGGCCGAGGACGCAACCCTGAATCACACCCCTATTAATAGATATTGATGAAGATTTAAGTAGGGCTCCCTTAGAGTTTACAAGTTTTACAAGTTAGGTACGGTCAGAAAAGTACGAGGAGAACCACCTACAAGAGTTGTCCGAGAAACCATAGAACTTAGTTTTTTAATAAGAATTGGAATCTGTACACAGTCAAAGGCGCGTGTATAGTCGAGTAAAACTAGCATCGTAGTAGATCCTCGATCCGACTATGACAGTATATTGTCAACTATGGTCAACAAAGCCGATATAGTACTATGATTTTTTCATAAACAGAATTGCAGAGTCGGTAAGATAGTGTTACTTTCAAGATAGGTCGTCACTTGCGCCTGAACGCATTTTTCAACAACATTGGATAGGTCAGGCAATATACTAATAGGCCTAAGGTCGTTTACGCTCTCAATTTTATTCTTTTTTCAAATTCAAATCGTTTAATTCAGACATAGTCCATAGGGTTAGTACAAACAAACTTAAGAACTAAAGTTAGTAAACACAATCAATTATTTTGGTGACCGGTGTGGATCTTTGCCCGGTGGCGCAACAGAGGGAAGTCCCACCGATCCGTAAACACCGTTTTTGTATGGGTATGGGTGTGGTACGGTACGGTACGTATGGGTATGATACGGTATGGGGGTAATTAGGTCACATTTCCAGGGATCGGGAAAGACTCATTCTTGTGAGGATTTATTAACAATTATATGCCTGTGTGTATATAGCTGACAGTGAATGCGTTAGGGTCAGTTTTATTTTTTAACTCTTTTTTTATGCACAAGTATGAGCTGTACAATGGCGGACTTAATGTCACAGGCATTTTCTCCCAGTCTACCTTAGGGTGCTGCTGAAATGTGTGACTAGGTGCACTGGACAATAATATGTAAAGTAAAAGAAAATATTGAGAAATTAGACAGAAACAGTGCTATAAATATACATACATACGTACCAAATACACACACACACATAAATACTTACCTAGTTACATACCTACATAAACCTACATATTAATACTATATAAAGCTTTAAGGTTGTAATGATATACATATACATAGAGATATCATCACAACCAAGTGAGTTCGAAGAGCCGGAGCTCATAATACGAGCTATTATTTTATCACAAATATGTTTGAAATTAAAAGTGGAGTGGGAAAATATGCAATTAGTCATGTTATATGATTCGGCTTAAATATAACAAACCTGTGGAATACTATTAACAAAGTGATAATTCAAAGTGTGGGGATCAGCTAGATGGACAGGCAGATTATGTGTTGCACCAGGGACTTCCTTTCTAGGGTATACCTGGTTCCCCGGCTATTAGTACCCGAGATGGCGTGCGGTTTTAGTCGGTTCGAGTCCGACATGCCACCGATAGGTGGTATCCGAGGGGATTTCCGCACGGAAAAAAAAGGCAGATTATTTGTAGAGGATGGTTTTAAAATACTATTAATATGTCTCCACATTGATGCAGGGTTACTTCTGTTATCGTATACATATTGATTAAAGTACCTATTTTTTCTCCTATTTTATAGTAAAATTAACAATATTTCTTAACTGGCGGTAATAGTTTATAGCAACATCGGTTTTTTTCTTTTTTGCTATTTTGCAGGTAACGTCTCAAAGAGAACGTAATATCATTAAAGAGTCGGTCATCCAAGGTGTAGGTGGTTTTCTAAAAGTACGAGTTCGCATGGTTACGAATGCGTCAAAAAGGTCTAAAATCAGGTAAATAAACATAGGCACCTTGTCGTTGATGCTTTCACATTGGGGAACCAGTTCCCTTGGAGTGTACTGTGCCGCATTGCAAATTACCTACCTTCTCATTGTCTCTAAGCGGTCTGTACGTAATCGTACGGGGAGTAGGCTTTATCACGGTAAAGTTGAAACTGGCCACTATCAGCGCATGATCGCTTAAGTCATCATTATGTATGGCTTTGTATGTAAATCAGGTGTGATAACATTTTTGGATGAATCTAAACAATTCACATTTAAGTGGGGGACTTAAATGTGAATTGATAAAACTTTGTTAATTGTAAACTAAAAATATTTTTATGGTTAACAATGACCACTCATACTTCCGCATTGTCCACTCTTCGTTCCTTATCCAATTTGTCCCCCTCTGGAACGCTCTGCCTTTGGAAATCAGGATAGCACTCAGCCGCCTCTCATTTAAGACAAAAGTCCGAGCTCTAATTTTCGACACTCTAGCAGATTCAACACATCTCTAAAGTTTTATATAGTGTATTATTATAGATATATGTATGCATGTAACTCAGCAAGTATATATGTATGTGTATCTCAGTATGTATGTATGTAT